TTATGTTTACTTTATTTAATCCTTTTTAATTGTGATTCACCTCTCTCTCTCTCTCTCTTCTCTCTCTCTCTCTCTCTCTCTCTCCCTCCCCCCTCCCTCTCTCTCCAGTGAAAGTGGAAGGAATAATCTGTTTCCATATTACTGTAGAGTCTTTAAAGCTACAGCAGGCAAAAGTGGTGATCAAATATTATAATTATTAGTGACCACTGACAATTATTAGTGATTTCTTGTACATATTTTCTTAGAAGAGAGGCTTTCTAAGAATTTCCATGATATTCACCCCGCCATGCAGTGCTAGGGCTCAAACCGCTGGAGCAAAGACCATCTCCAGCATCATTATAACCCACTGAGCCACTGCGTCCCCTGCTCCAAAATAACTATCCAACATTTCTCAGGCTACATGAATGCTTGGAGCAGGGCCTTCATGAAAAGCTCCAGTAGAAATACATGGGAAGAAGCATTGTTTTGTGTTGGCTATTTTTCTATAAGGTGACTTTTTTGCTCCCAATGTATATATTTCAATATATTTATTTATATTTCATTCAAGCCCTTCTTTTTTCTCCCAAGAATGAATCGTACCCTCCTATATTATGTATTCACATTATTCAGTATCTTGCCTGTCAAGATGAAACATTTAAATGAAATCCCTTGTCTCATGTATTTACCACATCAGCACCAGCATTTTTTTCTTTAATTGTGGCATTAAAGTATATATTTAACAGCTCATATACTTTAAAAAGGAAAAGTGAAACCTGTGTCTCTTGTGAATAATGAGACCTTTATCCTTCTATAGAGTCATGCAAAATGTGTTCAGCTCAAAGCTTTTAAGGTGTTCCAAGCTCAAAGGAGACTTGTGTGCATTCCATGCTTTCAGAACAAAATCTGACCATTTCAAATACTGACATTTTGAGTATTGAGTCATAGGAAACAGCTTTCAAGCAAGTTGTTTCAAACATTTGAAGTTCAAAACAAAACATGCTTGTTCAGATAGTTTTGTTTCAGGGTTGAAACAACAAAAATAGTTACATTTTGAGCATTATTGAGATGGCATGTACCCAGCGTGACTGATTTTTGAATAGGACTATTTTGCTCTTACCAAAAAAACAAAAGGTTCCTTCTCCCAAGTCAGCAGAAGAGAAGTATTTGATTTACTCCTGTATCAAAGGCAACTCTCACGTGATAAAAATTAAAACTATATTATACAGTATCTATTGTATCTTTAATACAGTTTGCTGGGTAAGCATTTGATAAAAGTTAACAAAAAACTGCTGGTGGTATGTGACTGGTTTTTTAAAAAAATAAAAATAAGGTGTAAGGATGCAATTCCAACACTTTTTGCAGAGTAGGAGTGTAAAGTTATTGAAGCATCAAAGTACCAACAACTCTAATGAATGAGATAAATAAAAGGCCATTTAGGCCTTGCTGTTGAGGTTACACATGCCAGAAGTTAATACAGAGGTAGTCAGAAAAAGAGAAAATAAAAGATGGGGCACTCCTTTTCTTATTTCACAAAACTTATTTTAATTTATTTAGAAGTAGTTTGCATTCTGAGAGGTAACTGCATTTCAAATGGTTGAAAGCCTTATATTGAAGTTCATACATGTTACCAGCCATGTCCCATAAGATGGTATAAATTTTAATCATCTTTTTTGGGGGGGAAGGGAGGGATTGTTTGTCTGCTTTATATATAAATAAGAAAACATGATATTTATTTGTATTTATCTTTAAAATACATATCTATACATTTTTAATTTATTGTGGATTATGAGCATCTCTATTTCAAAGATATATCTGCAAAGATATATGAGGCAGGCAGGATAATTAACAGAACATTATGCCCAACCTTTTTCCTGAACCTGCTATTTAAGTTTCTGTGAAGTTTTCAGAGGGTTACAATAACACAGATAGAATAGATAAATGATAAATGAATAGTCATATTCAGTTTTGACATGGTATTCGTGAGAACATTTATTTGGAAAACATTCTCTGAAATAAGTTTGATATGCTTTCAAGTCCAGGTGATTATTCTCAGTATATCCAAAAGCAAGGAATACAGAAGTACATGTCAAGATAGTCAGAGCCCCCTTGCTTTTAAGTATTATGACTTTCAGATTTTGCTCAAGTTTCTTAGAATATTGAATTGGTGTTCCTAAATTGCAACTATGGATCTCTTTATCCATGTGCACCTTACCAAATCCCAGCAATATCTTTTTTTCCTGCTGCATTCTAATGAGATTACTTTAATCCTGGCATAGCCCATAAGTGAGACAGGCTTAAGTCATCCTGAGTTATGAAGTAATGTTTCCTCCTCTATTGTATTCTGATACTCTCCTCAGTGATATCTGAAAACTAGGTAACATCTAGCAAGATTTTTGTCACTCATCATTTAGAGGGAGCTCAGACAATTGACTTGGGAAAGAAGAAACTGAAGCAAGAGAAGTATTAGCAGCTAGGTAGCCCATTTCATGCCAATTCATTTTTCTGCAGACTTAAGGTTGAGAAGCAGTGCTTTCCCATTGCTTCTCAACTAAGCAGTGGGAAAGACCTTAGGTATCCTATGATTTGCACCAGATGGTTCATTTATGAAAGAAAAAAAGGAAAGAAAATACTGTTCTTTAGTATTATAGAGCACTTCTTCCTGTAAATATTAAGAACATTATAGTGTTTAATTTCTCCTGTAGTACCAAAGGATTAAATGAATTTCTTACGGTTTTAAAAAAGCATAAATCCTATCTATAGAAACAGTTATTTGCATGTTTACTTACTAACAGATCAGTGGTGGGTTTCAAAATTTTTTACTACCAGTTCTGTGGGTGTGGCTTGGTAGGTGTAGCATGGCTTGGTGGGCGTGACAGGGAAAGGATACTGTAAAATCTCTATTCCCACCCCATTCCAGAGGAAGATTACTGCAAAATCCCCATTTCCTCCCGATCAGCTGGGACTTGGGAGGCAGAGAATAGATGTGGGAGGAGGGGCCAGTCAGAATTTTTACTATCAGTTCTCCAAACTACTCAAAATTTCCACTACTATTTCCCTAAAATTTCCAAAATTTCTCCAGAACTGGTCAGAACCTGCTGAAACCCACCTCTGTAACAGATCTACTTTTCAACCACATTACTATGTTTTATAAAGCTGTTATAATCTAAAACTTTGAGCTTTTACAAAGGGTTTTCTTTTTAAAAAAAAATCAAAATAGTATGAAAAAAATGAACATTTGAAAAATAATTTTTATCAGTGGGGTTTATTGATTAGTCTCTTAAACCTCTCAGTTAAATGGGTTTGTGAGATGAATGAGAATTCTGTTATTTTGTTTATATAGCTTTGAAGGCCGCCTTCTTGCCTGAAATGTCCAATAATTTCTGATACATGCAGTATTATTCTTTCCTATTTTTAATTTTGATCCCTTAAATTTAAAGTCATTTAAATATTTTAAAATATTTAAGAATAATTTCACATCTTCTTGATTCTTTTGATACTTTAAGTTTAACGTTTAGATATTTTTCTTTTATAAAGTGTTTATACCTACGCATAGTGTTGACCTTGTTTATTTTTCTGAACATATTCCTGCCTTTATTGAACAAAAACAATTTGATTCGCATGAATTAGCAGGGTATCAGGTGTGAACAATAAGATCCATATGTGAAGAGTTCAATTAGCTACTTTATTACTCAAGACTATTTCATAGGAATCTTCCCAGACTGGCAGTCTGCAGTTAGAAAAGATTAGATAAGGTTCAGTGGCATTGAAGTGTGTGTTTGTGGAGGTGTCAGACCTTGCCCTCTTGTGCCTACATAAGGATTCCAGACTAATTCCCTGCTTGACTCTTCCCCCTGGCTCAGCCAGTCTCTCTGACACAGGTGCTGAATATGAACCCGGCATTCATCTTTCCTTTCACACATTTGCCCAGTAAAAATTAGATTAGTACCATAATTATGCAGTGGAATCTTCACTGAATCACTTCTATTTTTCCAGCTTACAAATGATTCTATTAGAATTATCATTGGTTAGATGTTGGTTCATGGAAGACATTCTGCAAATATGGCACTAGTTCATAGCTGCTTTTCTTATTACTTGAACTTTTTTTTTTTTTTAATTTGATTTATATGCCGCCCTTCTCCGGAGACTCAGGGTGGCTTACAATGCGTTAAGCAATAGCCTTCATTCTTTTGTATATTTATACAAAGTCAGCTTATTGCCCCCACAAACTGGGTCCTCATTTCACCTACCTTAGAAAGGATGGAAGGCTGAGTCAACCTTGAGCCTTGGCGAGATTCAAACCTGCAGTAATTGCAGGCAGCTGGTTTTAATAACCAGCTTAATAACAGGGTGCCTTAGACCACTGTGCTACCAAGGCTCGTAACTTTTGATTTTGATTATATATTTGATTTTGATTATATTATATTTTGATTATAAACTTTTGATTATAAAGGTTACAAAGTGTAGCTGTAACACTTGTTTTTAACGCTTTTTCCACTTCTTACATTTTCCAAGTCCAAGTCCGGTAATTATATGATTTAAACTTAATCAACTTGTAATTACAATAGGGAAAATGAATTCAATATGGCTTAGTTACATTTGTATATGGAGATATTGTATCTGTTGTGACTTGATTCTGTGATTTTTATAAATGAGAACAGTTTAGATACATCCTTTTCGACCTTATCTTGGTTTACTAAATTGAGATATAAACAAGTACTTTATCAATGAGTGTTGCTTATTTGTTTGCCCATTTACATGAGCTTTTATTAAACTAAGAAATCTCTAATTAGTCAGGGTAGGATATTATGACTGGCTACAATACAAAGCTGAATCATAATTTGAAGCTGGTTCTGAATTTTATTGGTTGCATCACAAACAGAAGAACAAAAGAGGAACATTTACGAACAAATTTATAAAGCTGAGATATGATTGTTTAAACAATGTGTATAAATATAATAAAATTTTAAAATATGGCTGATTTTTTGTTATATTAAAATCCTATTTTTCCTCCTTCTGAATAGCTAACCCACGTGAAAGAACGTATTGGTGAACATGTTCCAGATGTGACACTTCTGCTTTGTCTTGGCATTACTTCAGGAATTGGTCGACTGGTCTTTGGCAGAATTGCAGATTATATTCCTGGTGCAAAAAAGGTTTATCTACAGGTACTGCTAGATTACCAATAGAAAATACATTAATAATGTATTTCTAGATGTTACAGGCCAATAATATGAACCTTTTGGTGGATTTTTTTTCTATATTTGCTACCCTTAATATTTTCAGATATGCATAACTTTTGCAGAATTATGTCTGGCATCTAAAGACCACTGAACTGCTGATAAGTATTTAGAGGCACAAGAACGGTCCAGGAGATCTGAGATAGTTTTATATATGCATAGTTCTCATCAATAATATCCATGAAGTAGTGCTGAAAATAGCATGTTACATCAATAGCACATTTTAAATATTTCAATCTATAGATATGCCATACTGATTCTTGAAAATTGGCAGAGATATTGTCAGATGTCACGTATTTTCAATCGAACATCTATTTTGATGTATACAATTACTACACTAAAAGTCTGTAGAGATTCTCAGTCATCCAGGTCATGGTTGTCCCAAAGGTACTATTTCAGAAGGCAACTGGACTTCCTTGTTTTTTCTTTGAAGACATTTTGCTTCTCATCCAAGAAGCTTTTTCAGCTCTGACAGGAGTTTCAGGAGTTGCCTCCTGAAATTGTACCTTTGGGACAACCATGACCTGGATGACTGAGAATCTTTACAGACTTTTAGTGTAGTAATTGTATACATCAAAATAGATGTGTCATGACTCCAACTAAATTTATCGTCATGGCAAGAACTCTCTCAACCATCATACTTACCAAACTGGGATAAGAAATTAATGGGACAGAAGCCTCCCAAATATTACTTGCAGGACCAACATTTACAAATATTGTTCAGAATTTCTAGAACAATGAGGAATACATGCTCCATAGAACATAGGAAAGGATCTTTCTTACATATTCTAGAAAATAACTGAAAATATTTGTGTTAATGTCTAAGCTTTCATGCAATCCATGTTAGTAACTTCACTATCCCATTTCTGGAAAGAGCAAGAGAACTAAAGAGATGAAAGACTCAGATTTCAGGCTGCAGAGAGACCTTTATACCTATCTTGTAGCCATTTACATAAGTTTACAGACAATACTAGTTTAGTTTAAAACAATGCTGAGAAAACAGTGAATGCCCTGCATGTTTTTGTGGATACAGGAATTGAGGAAATGTCAAACATGTGGTTTGGATTTCTCCAGTCCAGGGTCAGGTGAGATTCATTGTAGTTCTGGTCATGGTGAGGTCTGCCTTTGCAAAAAAAAATATGTGATGGAGCAACGAAATGCAGCAGTTGTTTCTGTTGAAGTCTTTTTCCCATAGAAAATGTAATAGAAATGTAAAGACTTATTTTTATATTTATGCCCCAGCAAAATCATTTGTAAGAAAAGTCATTAAGTTGATCCCTTTTATTCCACTTTTCAAGGCTGAGTAAACATTTCTTCAAATGTAGTTTCACCTAACAGGAAGAAGGCATTCACTGTTTTTCATATGAAGTTTTTTATTGGTTTCAGTGCTAGGATATAAGAAAAAGAAGATTAGATCAACAATGACCGACTCGTTGCCTAGCAGAAATCTTGAAACCCAATATCTTAATATTAGTACAGCACACATTTCATATGTAATGTATAAAGTGTTTTCTTAAAAAACAAAATAAAACATAGGCATGCTTACTTTATCTGAAAAATATAAAACTTACAAGAAACAATATGGGACAATGGACAGAATACTGAACTTGAGCTGGCACAGTGCTTGGGCAGGATGTTAGGTTTGGATGAGTTCATCAAAAATTACTCTCATTCTTTTAATGCTGTTGTGGTCACACCGGGTGGCAGCATTTAGCTGACCATAACTAATCTTGAGAAAGCTAAACAGGATCACATTTGCTTAGAACTTAAATGGAAACTGCCAGGATATATCCAATTATTAGACCAGACCAGGATATTATGGTAAGCAACCCAAGATAAGGTGAGAGCAAATCATGTCTGGATGTGACCATGCGGTTAACAGGAGTTGAGACTGATTCAAGAGAAGTGGAGAGATTATTTTTTATAATTACTTCCCAGGAAAATAAAAATTACTGGTATATTAATTATCATTATCATTATGACAGCCATTACTTCTAAGATAAATAAAGTGTTTTTCAGGATTTAATACTCTCGTAGAGTATTTGAACAAACAATGTAATGGAATCTTATTATTAAACAAAAGAAAATGAAACATTCTTGAAATATTTAAGGAATTGAGATCTTGACAGTCTGAAATGTTAAGAAGCCCTCTCTTAATGATAGGCTGGTTCTATGTTTGATCACCACAGAGGAGTATGCCTGAATGGATTAGGCAGATGTATAGAAGGCTAAAAGCAGGTTTTTAAATTGGACTCAACTAATACAGTTTACAGTTTAAGTGTAACATGTTGCATTTGCCCAGTTTCCATAGGCAACCTTGTACATTCTCTACCTAAACACTCTAAAATATATTTCAAGGCAGCCTCGCAAAGAACATATTTTGGCAATCCAATCTTAAAAGAAAAAATAACATACAGCAAGCCAGTAACACAGCATAAATCACTAAGGCAAGGCCTGGTTCTTTTCTAGCGAAAATCCAGTTACCAAAACAACTATGAATGGAAAAAAAGTTCCCTGGCCATGTGGCCATGGCCATTTGAACTTCTAGTAAAACTGCGGAGCCTAAGAGTATTTCCAAACAGCTTCCTTGCCTTTTTAGAGGGAATGTAACTTATTCAAAGGAAATTGCATACCCTTCTTGAAATTGATGGTTCTCCAACTTTGAACCTCATCTATTACAACATTTCCTGTAGATAAGGCTTTGACATTCCCACTGCTGAGAGGAAGACAGTCTGCCTTGGTAACCTTCCATGTGGACAGAGCTTCACTTTCTATAGTTCTCACCCAGAGGGACCAGTGGAAACAAAGGAAAGGGCTGGATGTCCTGCACTTGAATGCTGTGTTGCACGCCAGACATCTGGATGGATTCTCACAATTGTTCCATGTGATTTATTTACACCACAAACACAGACACAGAGTCCTTGATTTATAACCATAATTGAGCCTGGAATTACAGTCATAAGACGTGTTAGTTGTTAAGCAGATCACTACATCACCACACCCAATTTTACAGTCTTTTCTGCGGTGGTCATTAAGCGAATATCACAGTTGTTATATGAAGTCATTTTGATTTATTTATTTTTTGGAAACTGGAAGTAAACACCAGAAACCAGCAAAAAAAATATAAAAATTGTGACTGCAGGAAACGGCACATAGCTTTAAATGTGAGCCGGTTGCCAAGCATCCTAAATGCAATCATGACTGCGGGGGTGGGAGGTAGTGTGTGCAGCCATCAGAATTCTGGAATCGAGTCATAAGTAGATCTGGGGCAGTTTATTATAACTGTGGATGGTTGCTAAGAGACTGGTTATTAAACAAGGACCACTTGTATCCCACATTTGTTTTTATAAATAACTCAGGTCAGCAGGTCCTTGCTCCTCTATTTTCCTCACAAGAATAATCCCGTGAGGTGAGTCGGGCTGAGAGAGAGAGTGACTGGCCCAGTCACCCAGCCGGCTTTCATGTCTAAGAAGGGACTAGACCTCAAAAACATCATAGAGTTATGCCATGTTTTTGTAACAGTAGTGCTGCATATAATAATTTGGACCCCTTACAATAAATAATTAACAAAATATGTTTTTAATGATGTCCCTCAACTTGTAGGAGGCCTTTTGGTCCAATACTGGCTTTCATGGAAAAAAAAAAGAGTAAATGCTAATTAATTTCTCTTTCTCTGGCAATCCACATGCAATCTTCCAGAGACGCTCTGAGGTGTCTGGAGAACACATTGAAAATTGTTGGAGGGGTTTGCACAGAAAAAAGAAATGTGAAAATCATCTACTTTGTTCACAGATATCCCAATCCGCTGATGGAAGAACTTCCTATCAGCAAGTAGACACAATTAGATAAAAGGACACTTTCCTAAGTCAAATAGACTTCTGATGACTATATAGACACATCAATTTAGTTCTCTTGATAACAATAAAAAAAGGGTTTGCTATTACTTTCTTTATAGTAGCAGTTATAATGATCTTACTCCCTAGTTTACTTTACTACTTTGGGATTTCCTTGAATTGAAGAATATAAGGAATTTAAGAACAACTATGTCAGATTTTGCTTAGTTTTGTTTGTTTGTTTAAGAACATCTAAGTTTGACCTAGGTGGAAAAAACGTTTATTAATTTTTGGTGAAAAAAAATCATTTGTCATGGATACAGTAATAGAATCCCTTTGCTGTTTTTCATGATTTCCTTTCCTCTTGTATTCCTCTTGTTCAGGTGATATCCTTTTTTTTAATTGGCCTGATGTCTATGATGATCCCGTTATGCAAATCCTTTGAAGCTCTTATTGTTGTCTGCCTTATCATGGGCCTTTTTGATGGATGCTTCATTTGTATCATGGCACCCATTGCTTTTGAGTTAGTTGGTGCACATCATGTTTCTGAAGCAATTGGATTCCTTTTGGGCTTGATGTCTATACCAATGACAGTTGGCCCACCTATTGCAGGTAGGCAGAAATGTTTCATTAAATGTGTAAAAAGCATATCAAGTAGTAATGCTGTTATGTTTTTAACTGTTTTAACTGTGTATTTTTAATATGTTGTAAGATGCCCAGTCCTTTAGATTAGGTGGCCACAATACATTTAACATCATCATCGTCCAACAACATCTGCCTATATTAAACTTTAGAAAGGACTTTATAGGTTGATTAAAAATGCCAATTCTAGTCTAAATATCTGTGACCAACCACAATAATAATAATAAATGAAGGTAGTACCAATAATAATAGATTCCTTGGGAGCAATCCCAAAACAACTGGAACACCATCTGCATTGACAAAATCATCCTCAGTCAAGAACCAGGATTTAGTAAAGGCTTCTTGTTGGAGGGAAGAGACCTTTTCTGAATCTCTCTTTATTTATTATTATTCTTTCCATTGGAATAGCATAAAAAGGTTTATACTACAAGGGAGATTGTAGAAAACCACTGCTCTTCCTCCTTACAATATCAATTCCCTGAACACAATTTATATATCACCTAATAGCAGTTTTCCTTTTCTGAGGCTTCTTTTGAAGAAAAGAAATGCTTTATTAAACTACAAGATTTTTTAATTATTATTTTAAGACCTATATTGGGTGATTATTGTATGTATAATGAACTCAGGGAGTACTTCCATGTTTTAAAAACCTGCTGAAAAATCTACCTATTTAGCTTGAGTGTTATATATTATTTTCTTTTTCCAGGAAAGTTACGGGATCTCCTAGGCACTTATGATGTGGCATTCTACCTAGCAGGAGTTCCACCTATTATTGGAGGAGCTATATTATGTGCTATCCCATGGGTGCATGAAAAGAGGAAACACAAAGAACAAGCTACACCTGTGAATGGAGAAACCACAGAAAAAATGCTGGAAATCATCCCCTCCCCTGTATCGGACTCGTATGAGAAACCTAGCAAAGAATCAGAAACTGTTATTTAATATTGCTATTTTTTTCTACCAGATTGAATTTATTTTTATAAAATTATGTAGCTTTCTGTTTATAAACGAGTGATCATGATCATGCTTATTGGCAAAGCTATGACGAGCAGTGTGGAAATAGTATCAAGAAATCTTTTCAGCTGTTTTTGGTTGCATTTACAAAATACGTTTCCACTTTTATATGACCAATGTTATAACTGAATATATGCTAGTGAATGTGTAGGTAGAGATATATGAATGTATATTTGGGAGTCAATATCTGTCCTGTTTTATCAGCTGATTTCCTCCCAATCCCTTCACTTTTATAATCTGTCCAGCAGAGTGATTCAGCTGGAATTTTTAATAGCATCTAGTGGTTTTAAAACTATTACTGCTAATTTTTAAAAGTTCCGGGGATGTAGATTCAGAATTTTTTAAATTGTGGTAATTGTTTTGCAAAATGAGATCTGCTCTATAGAGTGTTACCAAGTTCAATAATTTACAATGCCTCATTGTGTGATTTGCTTCTTGGTGAAGTTTTGGCCTTGTTTGATTCAGTCCATGGTATATTGCTTCTGAAGGGAATATAAGGTCCAGCTTAATCCAAATGCATACCAATACCTAACACCGTGATGGTGAACCTATGGCACGCGTGCCAGAAGGTGGCACTCAGAGCCCTCTCTGCTGGCACGCGCGCTGTCACCCAAGTCAGATCTCCGTGGCGTTTCTTTCGTGAGCTTCTGTCCCTGCAAATGATGAAACAGAAGCTCACGAAAGAAAAAGATCTTACCTCTTGTTGCACTGCCGGTGTTGGGATGCCCTGCCTCCCTGGTCAGCTAGTCTTCAGATCTCTGCTGCGCATGCAACTGTGCACGCACATGTGTGCATGTGCATGTCTGTGTGCACATGCACACACCTTTCATTTTGGGATGCGCGCACACATAGTTTGGGCACTCGGTGTCTAAAAGGTTCACCATCACTGACCTAACATAACTTACAATTACAGCATTTATTTTTATAATATTGATATGTACAGGATAAAACAGAATATTATAAATGCAATACTGACACTTATTAGTTTTTTGTAAATTTTCTGTTGCTTAAAATTTAATAGTTCCATTCTGTATTGCTTCCTGTCTCAATATAGATAGTACTATAGTAAAGTTAGGGCTATTTCATACCAAATAGTTCAATTAAAGGCTGGTTTTTTTTTCATGTGTATATGGGAAAGTATGTGCTGAAACACATGACCATCGTGTCATTTAGTGCCTAGGAATTATAGTTCAAGCAATTATTTGTTAATAAGGTTTTAAAATTACAGGTAGTCCTCACCTTATGACCATAACTGGGATTGCAACTTTTGTTGCTAAGTAAAGCAGTTATTAGATAAGTCATGCCCAATTTTATGACCTTTTTGCCATGATTGTTAAGCAAGTCACATGGTCATTTAGTAAATCCGGCCTCACCCATTGACTTTGCTGGTTAGAAGCCCCCTATGAAGGTTATAAATGATGATCACATGAAGCAGGACACTGTACCTGTCATAAATACATGCCAGTTGCCAAACACCCCAATTTTAATCACTGTGGGGATTCTACGATGGTTGTAAATGTAAGGACCAGTTGTAATTCATTTTTTCCAGTGCCTTTGTAACTTCAAGTAGTCCCTAAAGAAATGGTCATAAGTCAAGGACTATCTGAACATATGTTAAGTACACTGACGTGAATTTTTCAGTTATATTTGCATGTTTTTATTATTGATTCAGAGTTCAGCAATTTTACATGTGAAATGCTTTCTCTGTTGTTTTATTTTCAAATCAAAAGATATATTTAAGATAGCATTAATTATTCAAGTTTCAGTATTGCCGTGCATTTCTCTGGTCCTTCCTGTGCAATAGCACAATTATTAAAAATAACAATCCTGTGGATGAAGGCCAATTCTAATTCTATCTTGCTCAGGTCCTGTGCTCTGTACCAACAGCAGAAACAAGCAGGATAGATACTGAGAATGACATGGCAACACCCACATGGGTTATCTCTCAGTATTTTGAAATTAAAGCTGCATTTGGCTGAATAGATGTGGTACCTTTCCATGTCTTGCCGTATTCTATCCTTTTTTCTCAATAGACACATTTTGCAGAATCCAGTTCATCTTGGCAGCTCCTTAGACCTCCAGCTGAAGGATGTAAACTGACCATCAATTATGTACTATGTACATACTCATACTTTTTTTCACCTGCAGTAAGCAACATTATGCAGTGTGCAAAATAAGAAATAGTGAGCCCGTCAAATTAAAGCCTCAAGATAAGAAAACATGTGACTAAATCTGATTTAGTTTCATGCTAAAGTATTTCATCACTTCAAATCATTTCACTCTCCACCTAGTCTCCAAAGAACTTTAAGAAGCAATGAATGTTAACTAATCAAGGAGAGAACCAACCTAGAACTAAAGAGAAATTTCCTGACAGAACAATTAATCAGTGGAATGACTTGCCTCCAGAAGTTGTAAATGCTCCAATGCTGGAGGTTTTTAAGAAGAGATTGGACAACCATTTGTCTGAAATGGTATAGAGTTTTCTACTTGAGAAGGCGATTGGATAGAAGACTTCCAAGGCCCCTTCCAACTCTGTTATTACGTTATTCTATTTGAGAATAGAATGGTATTTGACCATTTTCACCCACTTCTAAAATAATCTTTTTAGTTCCATCAAAGCTTTTCCTCTGCCTTTTTCATTCTTGAGTGCTTCTTGCTCAATTTGACTACATTTTTTCAGCTATATATTTTCCTTTTTACATTATAAATCTATCAGCTACACTTTTTATACTTTCTATTAGCATTATATCACATACTTCTGCGGCACTCAATGATTGATTACTTATGCGCCATCAAGTGAGTGTTGACTCTTATCAGCCAGATAGATACATTTTCTCCATGACAGCCTGTCTTAACCTGATCTTTCAGCATCAGTGTTTTCGTTCTATTCCAGTGTCTAGATCCTTTCACCTTATCTACCCTTTTCATTCATATTTTTCATGGAGGACTTATTATCCTACTGGGGTCATTCTAGTTTCAGTCATATTTTGTTTTAGGGTTTCCCCATTAAGTTCTCTTTTCCCTCAAATCCATTCTTTACACTATTCAAAAATGGTGGTAGTTTCATAAACACAACCTCTCTACATCCTTACATTCTTTACTAATTCTCTTAACCTTTCATCATAATCATTTTTGCACATGAATATATTTACATTTAAACTACATATTTGAAAAAGATTTTTCTAAGCAGACATTTACCAGTTACCATCCTCATTTGTTCTTGGGTCTCTGAATTGCTCATTTAGTTTTTTGTGTTCTCTCACCTTGTTCAAACCCATCCATTGATGGTACCCAACAAAATAATTTTTCCTACATCATATTCATTCACAACATCGCACAATTTTACTAAAACTCATCGCTGGCATGTACACCATTTACTAGAGCTATTGTCAACCTACAGAATATTAATTTTATAAATATAACATTTTTTTGACAGCAATTCATCCTTTCTGACATAGATTTTAGCTTTCATTTGTCATTATATCTCCTCTGCATGTATTCATCAACCCCAGAATATTAGAGTAATTTCACTCACTTCTTGATTTTTGTTTGGTTTAAGAAAATCCTGTCCAGAATGAGACACTTTGTCAATCTGCTGGCATTGAGACCTAACAAACTACCATATCCTCCCACTGCCAATTCTCTCTTGCTGAAGTACTATCTCCCATTTTTATGTTCTAGGAAAGTATCTAATTCCTTTTTCTGGGTGGGTTTTACTGGGCATATGAATAGATAGAAGAAAGATAAGATAGGCAGAATTGATAAATACAAAGTTGAAGCATCAAAATGCCTATACAGACACAACAACTAGAATTAAAGTAAATTCATACTATTCTGTTGGTCTCCAACATCCTTTAGAGTTAATTTTAGCAAGAATGCTGTATTAGCAGCTTCGCCATTTTTACAGTCATGAAGTAGAAAGCAACCCTTTGGACCTGAGGGTTAAATCCTACTACCCTAAGTGACTGGAAAAATGAAAATTGTTGCAATCTCACAGGGAAATATAAATGACTCAGGGGAATAAAAACAGTAATTAAATACAAGGTTCCAAACCAGCAACCTTCTACCATATTTGTTAACAGTGTTATAAACACTGTACTATTGTAGCATTCCTGGTGAAGATGGTTCTGGAACACGCACAGAGTAACCATTGATTCAGCTGTGAGGGTCACTCTTGCCTTTAAGATGTAGCCAATGAAGTGCTGGGATTAGTATTAAAGGACATCAGCCAAAGCAGACAGGAGTGCCTGGTAACAGGGGAACAGGGCAGGGCAAATAAGCCCTTAGTTTCACAGACATATAACATACCTATATTTGCTTTTTTCATTTAATCAATTAATCCATGCTCTTTATCATTTACTCTTATATTCCAAGTCACAATCTAACATATGTTGTCACTAGATGAGCCCATAACAACTCATCAATACCACTCTACTTGTATTTCTAAAAAAAATATAACCAAAGCCATTTTACACTAAATGCATACATGCTATGTGATGCAAGCTAAATTATCTACCGTTTAAGAGACTAGCTTGCATGCCAACATACTGTTGCTTGCATCCCACTAAATAAAAGAGATATAATATTTTAGCACACATTCAGCAACTGCATACCACTCAGCAAAATCCTAGCAAGACCCAGATTGCTGTGGCCTCCAGTTCTGGTGACCTATTTAGTGGTGGTCTTGGACTTTTGGCTCCTGCTCGAGAAGTCATCTTGTGCACCAATTGAATTGAAAAACTGTCTGTTTCTCTGGGCATTGGGTATTATGATTATACAAGGTATTTAATCATTTTTCAGTGGTTTATAATTTTGGTTTGGCTTCATTTTTTTCTATTTTCTGTTGTTTTATCTAGTTCCTGTTTCTTGTTTTACTTGTATGTCGCAATCTCTGAATTGGGCTGCCATATCCAGTAAATTGATTATCTAAATAAATGTGATCATTACAGCATCTTTGTCTTTCTAGTGTTTTTTAGCTCCAGGACTCTTGTGAGGCACAGAAATGTAGCAAGTGAACTTAAATGGCTTCTTCAAAGGAGATTCAAAAGCACTGAACAGGCGAAGATTACCTCTGTATTTACCAATAAAAGATACCCATGGAATGGCTTCTGTTATTTTTGCTTATTTATTAGAAACAGCAAGGAGGTGCTTCAATCAATTTTATGCTATGTTTATGGAAGAGGAACATATACAATAAAGAATTTCATTTCTGAGGGGTGTGTGTGTGTGTGTTATGTCTGTGTTTGTGTACAACTGCAGTTTTAAACAGATAGAAAATATTGTCCACAGGTTGTTGAGATGCCTGCATATATGAAATTGTTTTATATTTTTGGTCATTTCTCACAGAGATCTACAGGACATAATCATAATCAGATGTTTTCTGTTTTTCTTAGATTTCAGCAAAAATTTCTTCTAAGAAAGATGATTTTGTAATGTTTTGTTGAGAAAGTAAACCAGTCTTGGACAGCAAACTTTAGTTATTACTTTTATGAGAGAATTTATCGCTGCCTTTTTTTGTTGGATCATCTTTTTTATTTCTGTATTGTTGAACTATTTTTTTTCTTTTTTCTCTTTTTTACAAGTCCTAAAGGGAACTGGACTACAGTACTTAAAGAAGCATGTTAACACATATGAATTTATTAGTCAAATGATGAAGAAACAATCTCTTTGCTTAACTGGATATTTATTTTATAGGCTACTGTAGTTACTACCAATTCAAAGAGATAACTCCCCCTTTGTAATATGGATTAAAACCAAAATACAAAAGATGACGTAAATAAAATTAAAACATCACACTGATAAGATCCTTGGAGTAAAATATAGTGAACCCTGTTTTGAAATCGTTCAAAACAATTTCCACTACCAGGGGGACAAAAATATAATCCCCCCCCCAATCTGCATCAATAACTGGTCCTTTTCAGGCTTTCTGAATGCCAGATAGGAGGGGGGCAATGAAGAAAAGGAACATTCCCACGGCTGTTGCAGGTGCTATCCCTGAGCAAAGAGACATGGAAGGAGCCGCTTCTATTTATATTTTATGGGATTTCTCTGCAAGAAAACCAAGGATGGTTCTGAAGAAGACAATCCTGCCTTGTCTGCATTAGTTTTATTAGCAGAGCAGATCTTAGCATTTTGATATATACATATGGAATAATTATCAATAATGGGATAGAAAATAAATTGCAATTCCATGCAGTTTATCCTGTGTATCCCATGTAGAAAACAAGAACATTCCATATCTAAGGCTTCAGAAGGTGAAGATGTTTGTGAAACACAAGCTGATTTGTCAATCCAGATACTGAATAAACAGAACATATAGGTAGTCCTTGACTTGCAACAGGTCACTTAGTTAAAATGGCACTGAAATAAGTGAGTTGTGATTGTTTTTCAGAGTTACAACCTTTGCAGCATCCCCATGATCATGTAATCAAAATTCAAATGTTTGGCAACTGGTTCATATTTATGACCGTTGCTGTGTCATGTAATCACTTTTTGTGATCTTCTGACATGCAAAGTCAATGGGGAAGCCAGATTCACTTAACAACCGTTACTAAATGATCAACTGCAGCGATTCACTTAACAATGAAGGCAAAAAAGTAATAAAATGGGGCTAAACTCACTTAACAAATGTCACACATAACAACAGAAATGTTGGGCTCAATTGTGGTCATAAGTCAAGGACTACCCATAATGCCAAAAAGCTGACCAGATGGGCTTTTAACTGAAAGCAATTTTTTTTTGCTTTTGTCTCTCTCTGTCTCCGGGCAGTAGGAACATCTTGAAATCTAGAAAAGAAGCAATCTTGATTGGAAGTCAGGAAATTAGATCACTGATTTCTAAAAGCTTCTAACAAGTAAATATTATGAATCATCAAGTCATTGTGAAATCTTAGTAAATGCACAGATGGATCATCTCCGGGATGATCTGCCCTTACCCTAACTGTTGAGATCTCCTGATGCATCCATCACTGCGCTAATAAAATCCTTTTCACCTTTCTACTTCAATCCTTTCTGGCATTATGTATTTCTCAAGGGAACTGGGTTTTTGCATGGTATGTCCATTATGTGATAATGATAATTTGAGCCTAATAATTTGCACCTTAAAATAAATTTTAATTGATTTGTTCCATTTGTTTGTTTTCTGACAATCTATGGCATTCTTGGGAGTTTTCAAAGTATCAGTATTATTTTTATCCAGTTTCCTGAAATTTCCTGCATGATTCTGTGATCTTCGTGATCAGGTATAAATATATCAGGGCATCTGAATCTATTTTCCAGCGCTTTTATTGCTATGCATTGTAGTGCTAGTTTACAACTCATTTGATTGTTAGTTCTTTGTTGGTAGTTCATTCTAAAAGGCAAAAGCTATTGTTACTTCATTGCCAGTTCTAAGGATGGCTGCTAACATGTTGTAGCCAGTTGGAAAACATTCCTTTTTTTGTGTGTGTGCCTTTTTTATTTTTGATGTCCTTAAAGATTTTGTAATAACCTCTTTTTGTCAACAGCTTTCAGAAATTCTTTGCTAAGTGTCTTTCCAAGAGCTTTATTTTTCTTGACTTTTGCTTCTCTTCTTGGCAATTTCCGCCATTTGTTCTTACATGTAATTTGATTTCTTCTATTCCTTGGTCTTTGGCAGTTTCTTTAATCCCTGACAACTTCCTTGATTTTGTTTCAAGTTTCTCTAGTTCCCTAACAAAGTGATTCCTGATCCTCTCCTTGAAAATGATGAGCATATATATACTTAGTCATCATATCGTAGGGACTGGATGGCTTTATTCTTCCACTTTAGCTTGAGTTGGAACATGTATATCAGCAGTTTGTGATCTGCTGTGGTTAGCCCCTGGCCATACTTTTCCTATTACAATATGACTGAATTCTTCCATCTTTTTGTACCAATAAGAGTTTAATTTTTGTGAACTCCATCTGGATATACTCATGTATGTTGGCATCATTTTGGTTGTCCTAAGACTGCAATGAAGAAATAATTGGATTGAATAGCTTATTATACTAAGCTGCTTGTCTGCTTCATTTCAGCTTATAGGTCACATATCCAATTACCTTTTTAATGTTTCCAACTTGGAAGTAGCTCATGTTGCTGGGGTATTTTTATTTGTATCCCAACTTTATTACTTTTACAAATAACTCAAGGCAGTGAACATATGCAACACCTTCCTTCTATTTTCTCCACAACAACCCTGTGAAATGACTTGGGCTGAGACAGAGTGACTGGTCTATAGTCACCCAGCTGGCTTTCATGGTGAATTGAACTCATGGTCGTTCTAATTTGGTGCCTTAACCACTCAACCAAACTGGCTTTAATGTTTGTCAATTTTAGATTGAAAATTACCATAAAACCCACCAGCTTCTGCACTGGTGGAGAATAAAATTGGAGAGTAAAATTGGATAATTTGCTATTGAGACGGTATCTTCACAATTTCATTGTGATTTACCATTGCCTTTTCCAATGCAGTATGAAATTCCATTTTTACTGTTGTCACTAAAGCAATAATTCACGTCTAGCATATTCTGCCCAATGTATTTACCTGCTTGCTTTAGTTGAGCAGCTGGGATGATCTTCATACCTCTGTGACATTGCTGAGTACCGTATATGTATTTTAGTATATACTCCCAGAATATTTTACTTGTTCCTGATAGAAAACTGCCATGTTGAGGCAGGATAGCAGGGCAGGAAAATGGAATAATTAGTATTATTAAATTTAGATGCAGTATAAGCTTGGTTTGGGAGCGTTGCCTTATTTTAAAGAGACTGGTCTAGATTGTTGTGCCTGTTGTGTGTGCATGGGAGACCCTACATTGATGGATCAACTACCCACAATCACAATTACTTTTTTCACCTGTTTTTGTTTCAACTTTTTTTCTTGTTTTTCTGATTTGCTGTGTATAATAAAGACTGATTCTTACTGAATCTGTGATGTTTATTCTGGAAAAGGAGACCAATTTTCAGTAGAGGAGGAATGGAATAGTTTCACCTGAGCACAGCTTCTTTTCACTATCTGATCCAAGGGCAGCTGCAACTGATTGCACTAGAAAATAAAGACATGGGATGAGCTAGCCAGCCAACAGACAGGATGGTCAAGGGATTTCCATCAGCCCCCATAGACAACTCTGCTTTTGAAAAAATATTCACTTGTTATAATTTAGAACTTACTAACTACAACTTTATAGCCCAACTCAATAGATATAAAAGGCTTCATTTCCCACAGGTAGATAAAATTGCAAAGTTATGTGCCCATGCTGTTAATCGCAAGGATATTACATTCATCAATTACCAATGTCCCTGGAGGGCAAACCCTTTTTTGGGTATGAAATTTTAATTCAAGGGCCAAATTCTATTTTGCTTTCAAATAACCCTATTTTTCTGTGCGGTGGCCAGTTTGAAGAAAATTCTCAAATTATGGATCAGAAGCCGAGATAGGTGCACCTCTGCTTGCCTCGGCCACTTAGAAGAATGAAGGGAACTATGTTTGTTACAGGTGCCCAAGGCAAGGTAGATCATGCCCGCAATACAGCTGCACCTGCCAGGAGTAAAATAAACTTTGTTTTTGGAGTATTTCCTTATTTGAAGCCATGGTTGTATTGCCTGCACTCTTTACTAACACAAGGCGATGAGCCTCCATTCTCCCAGGCTCTAAAGTCTGGCTGACCTTCCTCCCACGGAGCGCTCTGGATACCAGTGGCCGCAGAATCCGATTCCCGCTTTGGATGTTCCTCTTCCTGTCTTGTACACATGGCAGACCTCGACTAGCGCTGTAACATAACTTTCCCTTCTGTTTTCAGGCTTTTTCTTTTTTTGTCTGTTTTAATCCCGTACTCCGGGAAATGAGAGTTGCTTGCAACGGCGACTCTTGACAATCTTAAGATGTGTGTCGTCAATTATTCAATCAACCAAAAGTACTTTTAACCGATCGTCAACAGCAGCCGGCTTTCCTGCAAACAACTCATCCAAGACTCCTTCGCGTCCAGTTGGGGTTTGCTTTTTTCCTTACAAGTAAGACCCGAGTCTTACTCAGAATAACAGAGTTGCAAGGGACCTTGGAGGTCATCTAGTCGGTTCACTATTCATTTATTTGTCCTTTCGTTTGCGATTAATATCTGAACGGGTGTCGGTTTGTATAGGCAATCCACCCCACCCTTATGTTTTATACTTTTTTTGTGTCATTTCGTAATGAAACGCAGGAACAATAGCAGTCCCTCTATGGTGTAGAAAAGAGAGACCATTAAGAGATTAATCTCCTTTGCTGTGTAACCATACTCCTTCCTCGGTGCTCTAGTACAGGGGTCACCAACCTTTCGGACCTCAGGGACCACTGCATTCATAATTTTAAATCCTGCAGACCACTAATATGATCTGCCTAATGACTGGCTGGGTGGGCAGGGCTAGATGGTCATGTGACTGAATGGATGTGGCCAACTTAATGTCACTCATGTCAAGGGATGCCTCACCTGCTCTACTTGCCCCTCCCCTCCCAGCCACTCCTCGCCTGCCCACCTGGGCTCCTTAGGGCTCTAACAGGAAGCAGTTGTTGGAGCTAAGCAGTCACAATGAGAAAGAGTTGGCAAAACAGCTCAGTTCAAATTGGACTTGACCAAGAAGGAGGCTCAGCAGAAGCACCTCACTGAGGACTACGAGCATAGGCTTTCCAAGCAGAGGGAAGACCTGCGGGGGTGCAAGGCCAGGTACCCGCACCCGGAGGCTCAGTGAGCTGAGATGGTCCGCCAGTTCCAGGCCATGATGCAGTCCCACTGGAACGAGGCCCCCCGGCTCTTTTCCACCTGCGGTGCTTCCATCCAGCCTTTACCCAAAGCCCGCACTAGGAGGCCGAAGCAGACCCCAAGTCGGAATTTCTGCCCCCCTCCGACCCACACAAAAAGACCCCAAAGGGGGAGGCTCTCTGCAACAACACAAACATTCATTCCACATATCCGGCCCAGGGGCCGTAGTTTGAGGACCCCTGATTTAGTGCAATATAAAAAATGCAAATAATTTTTCTGTGGACCACCAAAATTTTCTCATGGACCACCAGTGGTCCAGGGACCACCAGTTGGCGACCGCTGCTCTAGTAGCCGCTCTTTCCCAGATGATTTGGCAAACGTCACTTTCAACCCTCCAGCAAGAGGGAAGGGTGTGGAACTACGTGAGGGCCCAGCGCCTTCGCTTCAGTGGGCGTCGGTCACGTCAATAACCGGAGAGGCGAATTAATTCGCCTGAAGTCAGCCAACGGAGCATTCGCCAACCTCGGCGTGAAAGGGAGGCGTTTTTGCAGCGACAGCCTCCGCACCGTAAACAGCTGCTTTCCGGTGCTTTCTGGGAATTGTAATCTTAAGGTGAAAGGCGCTCCTTTCGCCTGCCATGATGCCGGCGGCTCCGGGATTAGTCGGTCACGTGTCGCCTGTCTGGGTCTGCAGCGGCGGCCTTCGGGTGTGAGACATATGGCGGGAGGTGCAAAGAAGCAGGTCCGCTTTGCCCGGCTGGAAGAAGAGGGAGCGCGAGAAGAAGCGGGAGCCCTCGGGGAGGATGCGGCCGCTGGAGAGTCGCCGCCTGGAAGCTCGGCGCCGCTTGCCCTTCAGCCGGTCGTAAAGGTGGCCGATGGCAGCGGCCGAAGAAGCCGGGCAGGTGGTGGCCTTGGCGCGGGAAAGCAGGCGGCGGCGGTGGCGGCTTCCCGGCGGGCACTGAAGTGGTGCATTTCGGCTGCTCTTTGCGCCGCTTTCCTGGGCCTGGTAAGGAGGCGAGAAAGCCAGGCGGGCGAACGAGCCGGGCAGCGAGCAGGGTGACAGCCGGCTTCGCCTTCCGACGACCCAGCGGGCGCCTTGCCCTTATGGCCCAGGCCGCAGCTTCTTGGGAGCAGCGAAAGAAGCCCGGGGTTGGGCGCTGCCCTCTGGCGCCCTTGAAAGAGCGGCAGTCGGCAGATTGATTGAGCTGCCCCGCTGGGGAGAGATCCGACGGGGATCTCTCTGCCTTCCTTGAGAAAGAAAACCTTGTCCTGTTGGACATAGGAACAAATGGAAACGCTTCGCCTTTTGGGCTGCTTTTTTTCAAGCCTAACCTACAGGTAGTCCTCGACTTACCGGCCCAAAACTTACGTTGCTAAGTGAGACGTTCGTTGTGGGGTTTGCCCCGTTTTACCATTTTTCTCGCCACGTTTGTCAAGTGAATCACTGCAAGTTGTGAAGTTAGTAACACTGTTGTTAAGTGAATCAGGCTTCCCCATTGTCTTTGCTTGTCAGAATGTCACAAAAGGGGGATCCCGTGACCCATCCCCCGGGGCACTGTAACTGTCATAAATATATGCTAGTTGCCAAACATCCGAATGTAAATCACGGGGCCGCGGGGATGCTGCCACAGTCATAAGTGTACAAAATGGTCATGAGTCACTGTTTTCAGCGATGTAACTTCGAACGGTCAGTAAACGAATTGTTGTAAGTCAAGGACTACCTGTACAACACTCTCAGTGTAATGCTGACAATGACAACCATAACCACTACATCACATGGAATGTTCTCATTCTGCTCTTGCTCTGGAAATTTAAAGTAGGGTGCCTGGTAGGTCTTCCAGTTTCATTTTTGCAACAACCATCTAGGTTGGGATGAGAGACAGTATCTGGCTCAAAAGCACTTTGTGAACGCTGTGGTCATCTGGAAGCTGGGTAACCTTGACTTCAAACCAGCATCCTAGCTTCCATGCTAAAGAATAAATAAAACACTTCCTTTTGTTAATGAGTAGGTCATGTTCTTCATGATACCACTAGATGGGATTAACAAAAAGGCTTGGTCTCGGATGCTGTAGATAGAGGAATGATGTTTGGCTCCTTTTTTATTTATTAGTGAGACATGAAAACTCTTAACAAACATGAATTTAAATTCAATAAAAGTCTGACTAAAATAAAATAAAGTAAAAAACTGAAACAGGTAGATGAAGGTTCTGATAGCAGATCTTTTTGGAGAGTGGTATTGGTGAATGATAATAATAATAATAAAGTTTGATTAATGATGGTAAATTTATTTTGGATAGGGTTGCATTGCCCGTAAATGATACAGGAATAATTATTTATGGAGGTCTTGATCCATATAGACAACTGGAACCAGAGATCTGGAATGCCTTTTGCCAGTCCTGGGTATTTGACACTCTGCCTATTTTCATACTGACAGACCTGTTTTCAAAAGATATCCTTGAGGCCTATTGTGTGAGTCTCCTACTGGATACAATTTGATAGATGATGATCTGAGAAATAAACTTCTTAGAGGATGCCTTAAGAATTTCTGAGAAAGAAATTTCTCTCACCAATGAAGACAAATATACGTCTCCAGCATCCTGCAGAAATTTCTTTATTCTGGGCAATCTTCATGGATATTTCAACTGGTGTGCAGAATTTGAGTGTGTGAACAAACTGATGCATATGCATACGAAGTCCACTTCAATACAACTATCCTTATAAGCGTAGATGCTTCTTCTAATAATATATCAGCAGTTGCAACTTTGGCTTTATCCATGTGGTTTGTGTTATGAATTCTTTCAACTATTTTGTGATACCTAAATAGACTGTTCCCTTGTCATGATAGTCATGTGATACTCTAAAAGAACAGTGGGACAACCAGTTTGGTGTGGTGTAATGATTAAGGCATCAGGCTAGAAACTGGGTGACTGAATTCTAGTCCCGTTTGAGACATAAAATCAGTTGAGTGATCTTGGGAAAGTGTCTTAGCCCTAGGAAGGAAACAATGGCAAACAGCGGCAAACCACTTCTGAAAAACCTTGCCAAGGAAACTGCAAAGGTTTGTTTAGGAAGTTGCCAGGAATCAAGATTGACTTAAAGACATCAAAAGACAAAGAAACCTTAAGCAATATAAGTTGCAAGGAGCTACAAATGGAACTACTACTGTTGCCAGGCCTTGTTTACAGGCTTCATAGAAATATCCTGTTGGTAACTGTGGAGAAAGGGTGTTATTCTCTGGTGTACTGCACAGAACAGTGAGGGTAGATATAGTCCATTAACTTCAATCAGCCTTATTTACAAATAAGCATGCTTAGGATTCTAAAGGTTGTAAGTTAACTGTTGAATTATTTGAACAATTTTGCAAAGCTTTATTAACAGCTATTTTTATTTCCTATTGATTTGATTTATTTCTAGGGGATGGCTATTGCTATTCTAGGACCAACATTTCAAGATTTAGCTGCAAATGTGAACAAAAATGTCAGTCAAATTTCATATATCTTCGTAGGCCGTTCAATGGGATACTTTAGTGGTTCTCTAATTGGTGGAATTCTTTTTGACTGCATGAACTCCAAGTTACTTTTGGGTAAGTGGACAAAAATGAATATGAATAATATAGATTGTTGACCTTGTAGTAGAAGAGGTGTTGCATATCTATCCCTAAGCGAGTTATAATTGTGTTTGTGGATATACTGTATTACACTATAGCAATAGCAATAACACTTAGACTTATATATACCGCTTCACAGTGCTTTACAGCCAGTGGTGGGATTCAGCCAGTTTGCACCAGTTCGGGAGAACTGGTTGTTAACTTTCTGAGCAGTTTGGCAAACTGGTTTTTGGAAGAAATCATTAGGGCAGAGAACCGGTTGTTAAATTACTTGAATCCCACCACTGTTTACAGCCCTCTCTAAGCAGTTTACAGAGTCAGCATATTGCCCCCAACAATCTGGGTCCTCATTTTACCCACCTTGGAAGGCTGAGTTAACCTTGAGCCTGGTGAGATTCAATCTGCCAATCTGCTGGCAGGCAGCCAAACTGCTGGTAGCCTGCAGAACTGCACTCTAACCACTGCGCCTCCGCAGCTTTTATAATGAGAATTAGACACAGGTAATATACAAAGTTGAAAATCCTTCTACTTAGCTGATCAGAAATGGGATAGTAATTGTATCGGCTCTTTCCCTCTAATCTTTTCCTGGTTATTTTAACTTCATCCAAATGTGTATCCATTACAGGGATGAACAAAAGTATTGGAGGGGACCTTGGAATCATGTAGTTCATCTCTCTGCAGAAACCTTCAGAAGAGTAGATGCTATCAACTCATAAATTTCTCCTTGCAAGCCCTTGGTTTTCTTGGTTTTTGTCTTCTGCATGTGCCCTAGTTGGTGCTCATCCTAAAATATAATGCTCAGAATTTAATATTATTGGTGCTGTCTACCAACCAGGGGTGAAATGCTCCCGGTTCGGACCGGATCATCTGATCCGGTAACGATGGCGGCGAGTGGTTCGGAGAACTGGTAGCAAAAATCTCTGCGCCCCCCCATGCCCAGCTGAGCCGCGTGATCATTAGAGCCTTTTTTCTATTTTTAAAAGCATTTTTTCTACAACCTCTTCAGCCGAAAAAATGCTTTTAAAAGTAAAAAAAAAAAGCCTCTGATGACCCCAGCTCAGCTGGGATTATCAGAGGCTTCTGAAAGCATTTTTTTCTGCAACCTCTTCGGCCGAAGAGGTTATAGAAAAAAAATGCCTTTAAAAGCCTCTGGCGATCCCAGCTGAGTTGCCTGATCGTCAGAGGCTTCTAAAACCATTTTTTTCTGCAACCTCTTAAGGTTGTAGAAAAAATGCTTTTAAAAGTACAAAAAAAAAAAGTTGGCCATGCCCACCCAGTCACATTACCACCACCAAGCCACGCCCACAGAACCGGTAGTAACAAATTTTACATTTCACCACTGCTACCAACCAATAAATCAGGCTATTTTTGCTCTGGGTTTTAGTCAAATGTCTACTGCATCCCGTTTTTTGCAGTGGAAAGCCTCAACAAAACAGAATGCTTGCATCACTTGTAATATGCTGTACTCTTTGGAAAAATATCAGGACTGGAATTCTTACAGTTTTAGGACAGTGACTTTAGGCTGTGATTCAAAAAGCATTTATATCAAAATAAGGAGCATAGAGAAGTGAAATATTTTGATACTTCCTGTTCAGCAGTCCGGTCTACTAGAAAAGTCATTCCCTTTTTAACATGGTCAAGGAAGTGCTTTTTTATTGATAGCTTCCTTATTTGCATTAGTTATTTAGAACATTACTTCAGGCTCTTTTTAATCTCACTCAAGTGTTCTCAATCCTTTTGCCTTGGTTTCAGAATCACAATTCTTTAGTAACAAATGGGTTTTAGGACTTTTAAAAACATTACTTATAAAGATGTATCACGTAGAAATACCACTGAACTGTCATGTAAGTTTAGTGGCATTTCTATATGAGACTACCTTCCTAATCTCTATGGAAGACTTCCTTTTGCAGCCTAGAGGCTTTCAGTTGTATTTGGAACTGGCTTTTCCAGAGCTCCATTTTGTGCACCATTCCTAAAACAGCCTTGCTTACCTCCTATTTCAATTATTGTAGCAGACTGTACATGGGACTGCCTTTGAAAAGCATTTGGATGTGACAGCTAGTCTAAAACATGGCAGGCTGGTCAAGGGATGAGTATTTTTCATTATACTTGGGTGATCCCACTGCTTTGGGGGGTTTCATTGGTTGCCAGATGACTTCAGGATGGAGTTGAAGGTGCTTCTTGTCACCTTTAAAGTCTCATGGCTTCAGTTATCTGAGAGACCATCTTCTCCATGTTCATCTGCCCATCCAGTCAGATGAAATAAAGTAATTTCTGGCCAGGTCTCATCTGGTTCAAAAATGCCACCTGAAGGTGCCTAGGAAACAGGCATTTGCAATTGCTGCTCTTATGCCTTGGATCTGGTCAGTCCCTTCTCTCCTGGGTTTTGGAGAACATATAAAATCCAGCTATTCCAAGTAGCTCAGGAGGAAAGCATGTTATGAATTTTCAAGTAGTGGTGGTCATATAACTTCATATGCTTTGCTTCATCTCTTATGATGGGATTTTTAAATTCATTTGGGGTGGATTTATTGGTGTAGTTATTGGAGGGATTATTTTATGAAGTTTGTGGTTATTAGCCACTTAACGCCTTTAGGAATGGACAGCATATTAACAAACAAACTTCAGAATTCTAAAGAAGTCAAAGTTTGGGGAAGGATGATAAGCAATTTTAAATTGTGAAGGAAATTGTTTTCTATGCGGCAGTATTTCTATTGAAGCAATGCTTTCTAACAATTGAGTCACCTTCTGGAAACTGTTAAGACAATCCAAAATATACTATTCAGAAGAAAGCCCCATAGAGATCGATAGCATTATTCCAAATTATAAATGCTTATGATACATTTGATATAGGACTGCTACATTAAATAAGCTACCTTTCTTCATGATATAGTAATAATTCTAAATACAAATAAAATTTTTACTGGTTTTGAATTTACTGGATTTAAAATGAAATATGGGGAATTTTAATTCTTAAAATGTTCTATTTTAAAATTTTAAATTATATTTATAGGCTTCTCTATGCTGGGTACAACAGTAGGTCTATATGCTATTCCATGGTGTAAGAACGCCATCTTGTTAACAATCGTGATGTCCATCATTGGTTTTGCAATGGGAATTCTGGATACAGGTAAAAAAAAAAACTTACTACACATAATCTATTTTTTCCTTCCATCATGTTGCGATCATTCAATGGGACTGTGTTGTTGCCTTCCTTTATAATAAATTATGTGTTCCTAATACATTGCTAAGTGTGTATCATGTGCACAAAACAGGTGAACCTGAAAATTTCCTTACTTGACCAAAGGCCAAACTAAATTTCACCACTTGGTTATATTTGCCTTTTCCTGTTTGCATGCTCTTCTTGGGGTGGGGATAAACATTCAGAGATTGGGAATTGCATGTACTTTAGTCCTAAAATAGTTGATTTGTATATAGAAAGTTTTCTTCACATACGTGCACATGCAGATGGGATGCATTCATTGAAAATAACGTGATGTGTAAAATTGTGTCTACATGGATGTTGTCAAACCCAGTTGATGTACAGTTGTTTCAGGATATTCTGTAGACTGAAAATACAGTTCAACTATCTGATAAATTCAACTTTCAATTATTGGTGCTTTAAGTACTTTAGTAATGTTCTGGCTAATGTTTACAGGAGATCATTGTTTTTGCTGAGGGGATCAAGAAAAATGCTATAGTTCCATGGTAGAGACATAGAAAGGTGACTCAGACCAGGACTGAGTGAGAGAGCAAGAGAGAATGCCAAAATATTATTTAAAAGAGTAAGACTAATGGACACCTTCATGCAATTTTCTTAACAACAGCATGGAATTGGCTTGCCAAATAACATACAGCCCTATAGTTTTCTGGTAGTCCTGCTAAACCTGTAAGTGGATATTAAATGAACAGAAGTATAGCTTAGAAATCATAGAAAGTAATAGTTCCACTTTAATCTGTATTCATACAACCTTTAGTTTGTGTATTGTGTCCAGTTCTGGACACTGTATTTAAGGTTTTAGAGAAAACAAATATATTTAGGGATAGTTTTGAAGAAATTATGAATGTTTATCCTTTGGAAGACTCAGAGAGGATATGATAATACTTTTCAAATACCAGAAGAGTAGAGTAATTGGCAGATCAAGGCCTGTTTTCTAGTATTCCAGAGTTCAGGACACAGAATACTATGTTGAAGTTACAACAAGGAAAACTCCAACTGAAAGTTCGAAAGAACTTCTTGAGCTGTAAGAGCAGTTAGTAGCGTAGTAGAACCAATTGTCCAGAAAAGTGATGGGCTTCTGTTCATTGGATGTGTTTACATGGATATGATGCTTTAATTTGGATTCTGGCACTTAGCAGTGAGTTGGAATTGATGTTTTAAATGGCCACTTCCTAAATTGGCCTTCAATGAAATATAATATATAGGAAAGTGTAGCTGTAGCCACAAGAAAAAGTAATTTAAAGTAATCAAAAGATGAAGAAAGCATATAGAAGAGATAACCCTTCTGTAAGAATAGAGTATCAGATGAATGGCAGTGTTCTTGGAACTTATTTTATTACTTTTGGTTAGATTTATATTCTGTTTTTCTTAGAGCAGCTTCAGTTTTTTTCCACAGTAGTCCTGGAAACTAGGTTGGACTATGAAAGAATAACTAGTCCCAATTCATCCACTGAACTTCCGTGGCTGAGCATAAAGTTGAGTTTGGATCTCCCTAGTTCTGATACATCATAATAATAGATGGCTTTGGCTTCTAGAGATTTCAGTACATTTTACTCCTGTCCACATTAATTTGGACTGTTGGAATTGGAGTCCAGCAACATCTGGAGGATCCCATGACTCCCTCTCCTCTGTTGAGTTCATGGTCATTTCTCAAAGTTGAAAACAGGAATGACCTGTAATGATAAAGAAACAAGACAGCGAGGGAAAAGATTGCTTTCCTGATGACAAAATTGCAAAAGTGTAGTACCTACCTTGAAAAGATGAAAGTTGGAATACGAAGGGAATGGCATACGTTAGGTGAAGGTATCATGTAAGTCTATGAAACTTTTTCATGTGAAAAGTTGACCCTGAATCTTTATCTTTCAGGTGGGAATGTTCTGGCTTTGGACACATGGCAAGCAGAAGCTGGTCCTCACATACAGGCCTTGCATTTCAGTTTTGCCCTTGGAGCTTTTGTAGCTCCCATCCTGGCGAAGATGGTACTGGGTGGCTCTGCCTTTGAATTGCAGATACATCTGGGTAGCAATATTAATAACGAGTCAGCTATGAATTCTCCTCCTGGGGCTACGTTGTTGCCGAAGCTTCATTTAAACTGGAATTTTGTGTGGTCTTATGCTGTGATTGGCACTTACCTCTTACTCGTCGCATTGTTTTTCTTTACTTTATATTTGAGGAGCATTCCTGTTCGAGATAGAACAAAACTTTCCATGCAGAAATACCAAATCGCGAAATATCACCGTGCTCTCATAGTACTTCTTTCTGTGTTTTTTTTTTGGTACGTTGGAGCAGAGGTAACTTATGGCTCCTACATTTTTACTTACGCAAAAACCTATGCTCTTATGAAAGAAACGGAAGCAGCAGGGTTGAACTCTCTCTTTTGGGGAACCTTTGCAGCTTGCAGAGGATTGGCAATCTGCTTTGCGACCTGCTCTTATCCTGGATCTATGATCCTAATAAGTATCATAGGCTCTACTGTGTCATCACTCTTTCTGGTCCTCTTCAATGTACATACAGTTGCTCTGTGGGTCGGTTCCGCGGTGTATGGTGCTTCAATGGCTACTATCTTTCCCAGTGGCATATCTTGGATAGAGCAGTACACCACTATTCAAGGGAAATCTGCAGCAATGTTTGTCATGGGTGCAGCTCTAGGAGAAATGTGTATTCCTGCGGCGGTTGGCTTCCTTCAAGGATATTTTCCCACTCTCCCAGTGCTCATGTACACTGCATTGGGAGCAGCTGTCATGACAGCAGTACTGTTCCCTGTGATGTGTAAATTAGCGGCATCAAATGATGATGCTAAATTGAAGGATGCGGGAGATGGGGAAGTTCAAGAAGCGTTATTGTCCAGCACTTATCCTGAAGACGACGAGGAGGATAATGAAATCAGAGAATGGAATGAAGTAGACTTTGAAATAATTGAGATGAATGACACACTCCAGAACTCTGCCATAGAGACCTCTAAGAAAATCCAAGGAGAATTTACTACCACCATCTCAAGCCAGCCTCCTTCAGAGAATTTGTCATTTAATTCTTCTCCTGTACTTGCTGTCAGATCCCCAAAACAGAAGAGTTCAAATAAGAATGATTAAATTGTCTTATTGTAGTGCAAAAAAAAAAAAAAATTCAGGAGATCAGAATTTCAACTTTAAGATCATATATTCTTTCAGTATTGGTGGGAAGTTTGCTGACTTCTAAGCAAGGCCTTTTTATTTTAAAGTCTGAAAGGAGTGGAACCCCTTAGTTTAACCATGAGAATGCTGAAAGACAAAGTAGAATATTTCCTAAATTTCTTCTTTTAATATTTTTTCAGGAAAGTGTGAAAACTGTAATTAGAATGAATAAACAGAACTTGTTTTCTACTCCAGTGGTCCCCAACCTTTACGGATCGGCGGATCCGAGGGGACGGTAGGTGGAGAGGGGATGGTTTCGTGTGTGTGGCACTTCCACCAATGTAGCTTTGTGCATGCACATGCTCGCCCACTGCTTGTGCAGCCCGGTTACCAATGGGCCACTGTCTGGCTCCGGGTCGTGGACCAGGGGTTGGGGACTCTTGTTCTCCTCATTGTTGGCTTATAAAATGATGCTTATAATTTGTGTACTGTCCTACAAGTAGCTGAAGAATAAGAATCTTCAATTCATTGAGGTCATTCTGGAAACAAGATAAATCTGGAAAATCAATCCTTGAAGATCTCTGCATTTCTAACTCAACAGTTTCATGTGTTTAGATTGAATTCTAAATATATTCTATCCTATTTAACAAAAAGAATTATTTTTTTTAAAAATAAGTACATGACCACAGTTATGGTTAAATTAGCAAATACGTACCGTATTTTTCCGAGGATAAGATGCACCTTTTTCCCCCCTAAAAGGGGGTGAAAATTTAGGTGTGTTTTATACACCAAATGTAGCCCTGCCCACCCACTGGCCCCCACCCTTTGGCCTCTGCCTCGCAGCAGTTATCTCCTTGCAAGCAAACAGCAAGAAAAAGCAGCTCCTTTCAGCTTCAGCACAGCCTAATTAGCAGGTTGATTGGATCTGCCTCCTGACTCTCAGCTGATTTGCTCTCAGCTGTTTTGTGCAGGGCTCTACTGCTTGCTGCAAAGAGGTAAATTGCTGGAGCAGATTTTTTTTCCCTTGTGCTAATCAAGCTATGCTGAAAACGAAAATGAAAGTAAAGCAGGCTGTTTGCTGCACCCAGGCAAAATTGCTCAGAGGCAGATTTCTTTTTCTTCTTTTCCTCACCAAAAAAGATAGGTGCGTCTTATAGTCCGGTGCATCTTATACTTCAAAAAATACGGTATTTTAAAATTTTGCTCAGAAGCACTTTGTATAATGGAAATAATTGCTGAAAAGGATTTGAGTTTATACTGATATAACAGTTACAGTGACTCTGTGAACTGAATAAACTGGAGTTAAGATTGCTCATCGAGTTTAGCAACGATGCAGAATAATCTCAGGTCATGCTTGCAAAGCAGAGGGAAGGTCACCTGCAATACCAAGAGGAATCCCATGGCTGCTTTGGGATTTCTGAAATAAGTGTTGTAGTCCATTGCAGACTTTAAGGGGTAAGGAAGGTGAATTTGCGTCTTAGAAATTTGATCATTTCAAAATGTAAACTGGGTTGTTTTTCCCTACCCGCATTTTCAAGCACGGAATTATAATTTAAAATAAAAGGGTGTGTTTGTTGTCATCCCAGCCGCACTATTAAGTGACCTTATATTTAAATAGCATGATATTGTGGTACTTGATATGTTCATGTAACTTCTTGGATAATTCAGTTTTAAAATTAAAAACTAAGGAACTTCCCTTCAGAGATGTTCTATTATAAAGTAAAAATCAGTAAAAATCTGATGGTATCTTTCGAAAACCAACCTTCAGCAAATTGTTAAGATATAGTGGACATAACTATAATTGAAAATTCTAAATCTATCAAGAGTTGGTGATATGCACTGAAGCCACCTTTCCCAATTTGTGCCTTCTAGATGTGTTTGACTGCAGCATTCATGATTCCGAATCAGCAGGATCTTTGTGTTGGGTAAAGATTAAAGGAATTTAAAACCATAATATGTAGACATAATCAGATTGGGGAGGCTAATTGAAAAAGTGACTTTCTTAAAAATTAAATATTGTCATTGTGAAAAGAAAAACCAGTGCTAATTATCTCTACAGTACCAGTATTTTCTATTCAGAAAGCCTTATTGTGGCTAGCGTTGGAGAAATAATGTTGAAATTTTGATCATTTAAAAAAAAATCTTGATCAAAATATATTCACTGATAATATTTTTACTGCCAGAATTAGATGCTTGCAAGTGTAAAATGAATACCAGATGTGATTAAAATGCAATGTTAGTGTTTCTATACCACTGTAAATGATGATTGAGTTGTAATGACGAGGATCATTTTAATTATTCTTATTCTTACTAGATAATTAACTACTGCTGCAGCTTTTGTAATAGGCTGCCTGAAGTTACTGAATATTAATATACATGTGGAATAGACACTTTGAGAGTTTGGAATCTGTCTTCTCTCTGTACACCAATAAACACGACTGAAGTTATTCTGAGGGCATTTTGAGTGCAGATCAAATTGTGGGGAAAGTAGACCAAGGGAACCTGATGGCTATGAGTGGCCGTTGTCTTACCTATCGTTGAATGTGACCCTTAATATCACTAGGGGAGATCATGTCTCCCAACAGTGTATGTATATTACATCTTTTTGGATGTCTGCATGTTAAAAGTTAATAGTACAAAAAACTATGAATCACTTTGACTTATACCTTTTGATACTTCGTTCTATTCTACAGTATGTTATTTGCCCTAAGTATTGCAATTATTGCTTGGATATTTTTTTTTCTTGTGTGTTTCCAGTGTTACAATAATTTTGTAATAAAAATGAAATAGTGTATTTACTGGGGAATTGGAAAATGTTATTTTTCTTGAATAATAGTAATAGACCTGTTTATTAGGGAATTAATTACAAATATGCTGTATTAGATTTTTCATTAGAAAGTGAAAAAAGATTCAGTTGTCTTTCAAAATAAGCTATCATACTAGGAAAAACAAGATGATGAAAGACTTGGGCAACAACAAAGATGTAATATAGACTTTATTATGAAGTCAATATAGACTTTATTATGAAGGACAAGGAAAACTATTTCATGAAGAATAGCAACAAACAGGCAAGCAGAGGAAAAATTGGTTTTAGGAGGACAAGAAAAATAAAATACATTAAAATGGGATTACTCTTGAGTAACCATGGAGGTTATAGAGACAAATGTGGGTGATTAGTAATAGAAAAATTATAGTATTACTCTACAAATGTGATTCTAAAATGATATATATTTGTAGAGGAAAAAGATATACAAGAACTAATTACAATATGGTACTCTACAAGAGGCAAGATGCCAATCAGGAAATCACTGATGTAATTATTGAATTGTTGAATTCAATATTGAATTGTTTAATTTTATAATCTTCCAAATTTTTAATATACTAATCACACTATGTCTATTAACATTGACGTGACATTGATGTAGAGATTAGAAAGCAGTGATATAAAATACATGTACTATGATGAGCTTGCTCTCCATCATAGTATTTTGCTGGTGCTTGTTGCATACTTGCAAATGCCAGATAAAAACTGTAGTTACTTTGTTGATAGGAATAGATTCTCACAGGAGTCAGAGGGGGAGTGGCAGGTGGGCTGGAATCAATATCAGCATGAGATGTGGAGCTACTTTCAAATGCTACTTGAAAGAATTTTGGGGAAAAGCTTGGAGAGAAGCTGCAAGTGAAGCTGGTGGCTGGCAGCTAAAATGCCAAAATTGATTCTGCCCACCTAGTCTAAACATAGTAAGAGGGCCTGTTGAGAATTCCTTCTCCACAGGAAAATTTTCTGCCATGGCATATAGGGACAAGGTATATGTAATACTGTTTGTGTTCCACAATATAGTTAAAAATATTTCAGCATGCTGTTGGCCTTAGGTGAAATGTCTGGCCTACAAATATTGTCAATAAATACGAATAATTTGTTTAAAGTTCAGAAGGCAACTATTTTGGGATTTTGTCTTCCCAAAATAGTTGCCTTCTGAAGTGGTCTTCCGGGTGCACTTCAAGGTGTTGGTCATCACCTTTAAAGCGCTCCGTGGTATAGGGCCTAGCTATCTTCGAGACCGCCTGCTGCTACCAACGACCTCCCATCGACCCGTGCGCTCCCACAGAGGGCCTCCTCAGGGTGCCAACAGCCAAACAATGTAAGCTGGTGACCCCCAGGGGGAGGGCCTTCTCTGGGGGGGCACCTACCCTCTGGAATCAGTTGCCCCCAGAGATAAGGAGAATCCAAGACCTCAGTGCCTTCCGCCGTGCCCTTAAAACCCACTTTTTCCAGCAAGCCGGGCTGGCTTAAGAAGAAATTTTTAAATGTTTTAAATTGGTTTGTGATTTTTAATTTTTGGGCCAAATTTATTTATATAGATTTTAATTGTTTTTAATATTTGTATTTCATGTTCTTAATTCTGGCTGTACACCACCCTGAGTCCTCAGGGAGAAGGGCAGTATATAAATTGGAAATAAAATAAATAAAATATTTTTGCTTTATTGACTATAGCAAGATTTTTGCTTGTGTAGTTCAGGAGTCAGGAAGAGCAGTAAAGAGCCAGATCCTGCCCATCTGCCTCTGTGGGCATGGCTGAAAGGTCTGCAGGACAAGGAGCATGGCAGCCATTGAATATTTGATACCACTGATGATAGTACTTTTTTTGGAACTGCTTTCAAGGGTTAGATAATGAAGGCACTGATTAGCAATGGTTCTTCCCAAGTGAGCAGTTTCAGTTAGTGTTGTTGAATAATACTGAAACAAGCACTATTGGAAAAGTTTTGATTTTTTTCACCATTTATAAAGTGTTTTACTATTGTCTGCAGATTCTTGGTCACCCAGGTCATGGTTGTCCCAAGGGTGGTTTTTCAAGAGGCAACTTGACTTTGTGAGTTTTCTTCTTCTTTGAAGAAGTTTCGCTTCTCATCTCATTCAGAGCTGAAGAAGCTTCTTGGATGAGAAGCGAAATGTCTTCAAAGAGAAAAAAAAACCCCTAGAAAGTCCAGTTGCCTCTTGAAAAAGCACTTTGGGTTTTACTATTGTGTTTTGCTTCTTCACAATGATATCAGGAAGCCCCTGAGAAAGACTGCAAGTAATAATTGAGCAATTGGTGCACGATGAACAAGCAGTTACAAGGACAAAGCTTGGAACCTAATTATTATACTGATGGTAACAAATATTCATGTTTTGCTTGAAACCTAAAGAAGTCTTAGATGGTACAATATAAATATGGTATTGAATGTGTTGACTGTAGAGTTCACCAAAAGGAAAAAAAATGAGTGCTTGTCTCTTTTTAGGAATTTCTTTCTAATAACATTCTTCTTTGCTATAACACTTGTGAACTAAGCATGGATTGATTCCCGCTTGTGCAATGGGAACGAATGGTTGTATCTGGGGTGGTTTCACAGGGCTCAGCTTTCTTCCCTGTTAACATTTAAATGAAGCTGTTGATTGGGGCAAGGCACCATTATTAGATGAAAGATAGCATCAGGTGAAGACCATGACCAGTTTTTGCTGGTGTTATCATTTCAAGCCTTTTTCTGTTGGGAAGCCTTGACAAAAGTGACTGAGGCATTCATCACATCAGATGTAGCACACTACACAGGGCAGCTTTTGGAACAATCATGAAGTTGTAATGAGTCCATAATATGAAACTTGTCTACGTACTGGTAAGTGCACCTTAATAGTCTTGACAACTGTGCTACATTTGCTGCACTGACTGGTGGTTTGATTCTAGATCCAATTCAACATACTGGTCATTACGTTTAAAATCCTACAGTCACTCCAGGATACTTATTGGGACTATCTTTCTTGACCAATCGCATACAATAAGCACCAAGCCCTAATATGAGGGGGGGGGACCCTCACATCCCCTTTCCTAGAAGCCAGATATTATCTATGTCTGCCCCCACAACTGAAATATATTGCTTTCCTGGTGGGGTGTCTCAATCCTCTTGGCTTTAAAAAAAACACTTAAAAGCTATTTATTTCATAAGACACTTGGACTGATTAGTTTGGGATGAACACTTTTTAAAAAAGATTTTTATAGATGTTACAGAGCAAAAAAGATGTTGAAAAAAATGTGATAGTAATATTTTCCCCTATCATATAAACACAATTATTAACAGAATTCTATGGTGCAACTCATGAGATTTTATATTCACTGTAGTTGCTTGAATCATCTATTTTTGTGGCCATTTTTCTCCTCCAAAGATCAGTAGGCTATAGCATTTGCCAGCTCATATATTTTCAAGGGCTGTATTCTTTCAGTAAATTCTTCTATTATTTTATATATTAATTACAGGCTTTTTGAATAGCAACACTGAGCAATTTCTATTCATTAAAGAGAACTCTTAATTCATGTCAATTTAGTAACATTGTTTAAAACATTCCAGTTCAACTACAATGAGATTTAAAAATGCACATTTATTTGATTTTATTAAATTTACTATGGTTGCAATAATTTTTAAAAACAAAATGATTTCCAATTAAAAAAATGAACTGTGACCACATAATTTCTTATTTTATACAGTTATACAAATATTCTAAATACACATTTTCTTATGATGGCAAATAAATTTTAACTGTACAGTACATAATGAAATATTTAAGCATATTTAGAAGCAATAGAAATGTCTATACAAAAGCAAAAATGGATTTTTTATTTAAAGTATTGCAACAGTCCCACAGTTTTATAACAAAAATGTCTTTGCACAGTTCCTCACAATGCCCCCATTAATAGCCAAAGCAAGACAGTGATTTTAGAAAATGTTTCAAAAATGCTACACTTACTACTGTTTGCAGTTTCATCAAAACAACAAATCTACTTGGAATCAAGCAAAATGAAGAAATATCCCAATCAACTTTAAAATTGTATAAAATCCATTGCACATTATTTTAGTCAGTTATTTGAAAAGTAAAAAAGTGTATTTACAAAATATTTTGCAGTCAAAATTTAAAGTTGATGAGTTATCAGTAACACACATCCTGATAGTTCAATAAAACACAATAGCAGTTTCCCAAAGATTTTCAGTATTACTACAGAAATCCACAGGGAAATATTTTTTTTATTCTGAAATGGGTTTACAAGATGTTAACACAGTTTTTTCAACATTTGTCTTATAAACAATGTTAAAAAGGCAAAAGAATGGCATCATTAAAAATGGATTATTAACAGATTATCAAATGTATTTTTAATTTACTTAGAACAAACATTCATTAGTTTTAGAACACGTCAACAATGTATGAAAATCCTGGACAAGATGAAATTGAAGGACCATGCAGGACAGTTTAGAGTGGTAAACATTGAAAACAAAAATAGCACCTGGAATCCTGTGACATTAGGCAATCTAAAACTGATCAAGTAGTTGACGAAGATATGGTGCCTTAGATAATTCTCGGCTCACTCTGGAGACTTTGAAAAGCACCGGACAGTTCAATGAAACACATGGTATCTGTCGATCAAAGCAACTTGTACAATTCTTGCATATCTAGAGGAATATATAATTAATTAGTGCAAAATACACTTAACTGGGAAACAATACATAATTAGCGTGAGACAGTATATGGCTATTTCTGTTCAAAGTAATTATGTGCAAGACCAGATAGAAAAGAAGACATTTAAATTTTCTCAGCCTCTCACTGAGAAAATAAATAAATATGGTAATAATAAAATAAATAAAAGGAGGCTGGGAAAACTAAGATGGCCATTGATCAGGAACATCTCAAATGGTCATAAAGCAGGTTAACGGTAATGTGGTTATCAAAAAATAATGAAGAAAATGCTGATAATCCATTAAATTGTACAATCTTTCA